ATTACAAACTAGGAAAATACAGGGAATTTTATTTTTGTCTTTTAAAAGTGGTGACCCCTCAAAGCGCCATCTATGGGATGTTTAAGGATGATATTTTAGCTATACTAAGCTATTTCGTGCACTATAGCATTATTTGTTTTAAGTATGTTAAGCTGTTCCTTATTTAAGTTTTTACAGCAATTAAAAATAGTATAGCTAGTCTAATATAGGCCACTCAAGAGCACAGTGATTATGTGTTTCCTCAATATGTTGTATATAATATGTACAGGGGAAAAAAACAGGAAATTCTTTTTTCCAGATTTGAGTAGCAACCTTTTATCTACACACATTTATTCAGCGTGGTGAGGAAAGCTGATAGTGAGAAAATGGATTATATTTCTAAAATATTATCGCAATGAACCAAATCAGTTCACAGTTCTTTCGTCTTAAACTAAATCCAATTTAACTAAACTAAATTTAAAAATACTTGAACGATTTCCTTCAACATGTCAAAATTTAATCAAGATGAGTGGTTTTAGGTGGTCTGATAAATACATGAACATTTTTACCAGTTAGTGGAATACTGTCAATCAAATCTATGTTTTACAAAAGTGTCCAAGAATCTAATAACAGTATAGTTTCATCAGGTATGTTTTTAAAACACACCTCAGATAAATATTTGAGCAGCTCTTTTGATCTCATTTGGCTCGATACTAAAGCATGACATAAACATCTTCAGTTTGAACATATTTTGCCTAACTAGGGTTCTCAATTCTTCTTTAGGTTTTGGATACACAATAAATAAAGCTTGCCATCTTTGATCGTTTGCATTATATTGTGTGATTGGGTTGTAGCATGGATAGATTGTGCAACACTTTCAATCTGTTTGGAGCCAAACAAATCTAGTAGTGTTCTCCCTTAATGAATTTCCTTTAAAATGAATCCTTCTTTCTTTCTGAATAAGTTTCGCTCTAAATTTTCTAAATTCTAATAACTGCAAAATTTTTGGTAAATTCTAAGAGTTCTGCTTGGGAATGTTTCCTTGTTAGTTGAATTAAATATTGAAGTATGGTGATGCAAAATTCTAATGCTCTAAGAAAAACTTTTAAACTAGCTAAAAAAAACAGGAAGAAAAACACTTACCAAAAAGAAGCTTTAAATACGTTAATTTTTTGAAATTATTGCTCGTCTTTGTATGCAGGATAAACAACAGCTTACAATAAAATGCTTGGTGATTATCCGTTAGTACAGTACTAGACAAAAATTCTCGAGGCAAAATCATTTCCAAACGTGTTACGAAGATGAATTATTACAACTAAAAATGGTTAATAAAAGGTTTGTTGCTTATCCATTAGTACAGTACTAGACAAAAATTCTCGAGGAAAATCATCTCCAAACATGTTAGGAAGATGAATTATTACAACTAAAAATGGTTAATGTACCTTTAAAGATAAAATGATGCGCCCCTAAAGAAAACTAGAACCAACTTGTCTGGTACCCAACTAATGGATAAGTATCGAATATTTAAACAAAAATAATCTTCCATACGTATCTCTGGCTATTCCAACATCAATAAATGGGATTTTGTTTTCAATCAATAAGCTCATCAAGCTACTTTTGTTGCTGTCTCTTATACAACCAGGTTTGAGGGGGAGATGAGGACTTAGAACCTGAAAAATAAAATTATTAACTGTGCAAAAATTTTATTGAAATTTCTACTTAAAAAAATATACAGGCACATAATTTAATTATACACGAGTATGTTAAAAGTAGGTAAAATATATATTTTAGATAAAAGAACCTCTATAGATCCAATGACTTGTCCTTAAAGTTATTCAATTTCCCCCTCCCCATAAATTTAATCTTAAAACGTCTTTCAGTAGAAACAAGACTAAAGAACATAGAAACAAGAAGAATTAAAGCTTTAAGGAACCATAACTTCCAATCTAGAATGTCTCATTTATCCGAAAAGCATTTAAACGTTATTTAATATTTTTATCAATGTTAAATCAATATAATTTTCATTATTGCAAAAAACGCCTTTTGAAAAATCGTCAGGTAAACGTGTCAGACACTCACGTTCATTACAGAGCTAATACTTTCTCCTTTTATCCGAGATAGTTGTTTTTCCTGCAGTGTTAATAATTCCCACACAAAAAAAAAATGTTTTACATTAAGTCTATACAGGTGTTGAGTAGCCAAATCTTTCAACAAAAAATAAGTACCTTTTAAGTATTTTTTAAATACTTAAAAATTATTTTTAACCACTATATACATTAACAAATAAAAACTCTATGCACTTCTTCTATAGGAATAGACCGAGACCAGTCAACTTTTCGTATCCTCTTTCCCAATTAAGGGATTCTTATCAGGAAAATTCCTTATCTCCTCTTCGCATTTAGGTTAATAAAAACAGGAACAGTCAAGCAAGCGCCAGAAGAGAAGAATACAAATGCTAAGTCTTATTATGTCATTGGTAATTACATTTGATGTGAATAATGTCGGATAGTAATATACAACCATAGGGTACAATACTGATTTAACTGCAATTTTGTAGACCACTTCCCTGATTATCCCTCATTAACTCGGGTATGTATATATATTGCAAATATTTATCACCCGGAGAACATTTGTACATTTTGTTTTATCACGTTTTTACTCATTCGGAAACAAAAAAANGTTTTACATCATGCATAATCAAGTAAGTCAAAAAGAGAAATTCAAAATTGGAAATAATGTAAGCACTTACATTTAGCGATGTAAAAAATATGTATATAAATCTTAATATAAAAAAGATTTTTTAAACCATTATTTATAATTACTTCAAGCTATTTTAATTTCTAACCATCGTTGAACAGCTGACCCAATTTTCTAGGTTTACAACTACAAATGTTCAACTCAGTAGCCTTGCAATTTTGAACACATCCAGAAGACAAAGGAACTTCGGGATCAAGTATGGGGAGAAATTTGCCTTCGTGGAGGACTTTTTGATGAAAATAACCCCCATTTGTATTACATGGAGAGGAAAACCACGAAAAACTCCCACGTTTAGTCTGACAGCAAGGGGATTCTAACCCATGATCCGTCTACCACTGAAGATATTTTTACTTAAACAATTAACACTCAACATGCTGCAGTACTGGCAATAGTATTATCTGTTGAGGAATAAGAAGTATTTTTGGCATCAGCAGATATTTTATCGCCAAATATTATTATTTTTTTAAAATTTCTTCAATAAATACGGAGAAATTTGAAAAGATACAGGTAAATAGGAGATATTCATAAAATACTGGAGTCTCCGTTAAAAAACAGGAGACTTGGTAGGTATGTAATTCTGAACAGGTTATTTCCTTTTATTTTAAAAATGCAGTGATCGGATCAAAAAAATCTACAAAACAATTTAATACGTAGTAGCTATATAACCATCGAACAATGCAAAAGAAATTAATGTCATTTGGAAGTTCTTCGTCCTTTAATTCTTTAAGGTAATTTTTGAATTGTCGATGATTTTTTGCATTGGAGCGAATAATTTACAATGTGTAGCACTGTTTTCATAGCATCAGGATACTTTAAATATTGTGCAACGAGTTGTTCTTGGTGAATTATGCAGTGAATTGGTATGAATTGTGGAATTTAAGAATCATCTCTTAAAATCCCAATAAGACCGATTTTTTTACCCAGCATTTCCGGAGCTCCATTAGTTGCAATGCTTACAAGTTTGCTAAGAAGCACATCAAAAGTTTTCATTATGAAATCTAATGCATTTTTAATATTGGCACTGCGGGTTGACTCTTGAAGTGCTACTAAATCTAATAGTTCCTCGTTAACAATGAAGTTAAATGAAACAAAACGTATGAAAACTGCCAATTGCAGAAGATCTGTGATATTGGTCGATTCACCAAGGAACAATAATAATTTTGATAAAACATAATAGCACAAAAATGAAAAGGGAACTCGGATACATTTAGCGAGAGCCACAAATAATCCTTCAAAGAGCCGCATGTGGCTCGCGAGCCGCAGGTTGACCACCCCTGGTATATACAATGGTTGCTGAATTTACATAGCAATAAGAGTAAGAAAAAAAAGGCGTATCACTCCACTGGTGTTTGGATAGTATCTCTTTGCGCTGTTCCTTGTTTTAAGAACTATCATACAAAGACTGATATTTAACTTTTTTCATTTGTCCGAAATATCTCAGGATAGTAAACTGATTTTAAATTAAATGTTTCTTACACATAGAAAAAAAATTTCAAATTTCAATTTAAAACTTGTGCATTAAGTTTTGTTTTAGTTCCTTGTATTTAATAATAAAATTAAAAAAATATGTTGATTTTTTGCACCCCCCCCCCAAATAATCGGTAAGGGAAGTGGTTAAAGATGGCGAATAAATGAGTGACTTTAAGTCTGGAAACAGTGAAGTGATTAATAAAAAATAAATGTTTTGAGTCTCACTAAAAATTAGACTCAGAAGTTGGAGGACATTTTTTTTGAAGAAAACTTAAAAGATTAAGTCATAAAGAAATTGAAAACTTTGCTAAGGAAATAACGTGATTGGAAAATATGTACACACGAACATATGATATGAAATATTTTGAAATTATGACTATAAATTAATGTTTTTGTGAATTATTCACAATTCATTCAACTCCAATATCAGGATTGCCACTCAAATCTGGGAAAAAATATTCCCTGTGTTTTCCCTGTACATATTATACACAGAATATTAAGAGGAAACACAACAATTACTGTGCTCTTGTGTGAGCTATATTGGGCTAACTATATTTATTAGTTTTAATTATTTGAAAAACTAGAGGAAAAAAAAGGAATAGATGAACATACTTAAATAATGCTAGAGTAAATGAAATAGTTTAGTATAGCTGTAATATCATCCTTAAATATCCCATAGATTATGCTTTGAGACCTCACCATGTTTTAAAAGATGCAAATAAGAAGCAAAACACAGTATTTTTTCCAGTTCGTAATGAAAAAAAAATCAAAATTCCCTGTTATTTTAGGTGATTTTTAAATTCCCTGTGGAGTAGCAATCCTGAATATAGAAGTTTACTTCTAAATATTGCGCTATTAAAAAAATATACATACTTCATCCCCAGTTGATAATAAGGCTAACCAGGGCTTTTGAAAAACTAAAACTTTAGTTATTCCTGCGATAGCTAACACACCTATTTCAGCGGCATTTATTCTTCTCTTTGAGGGTATCAGTACTTCTCCAACTGACACATCACTGCCCACAAGTCTAGTAAAGAAATATCATTTCAAAAACACTATTCCACAATGACAACTAAATGTTTAAAGAGATATGAGATTTCAACAATTAAAAAAATTAAATTACACATTTAAAAAAATTTAAATATTTTTAACAAACAGTGACACATAAATGAAATTTTTAGAAAAAAAATCATCAATAATTTAATGATATAATTTGTTGTCGTAATCTTCAGAGTTTTAATTATTCTGATTAATCATCACCAGACCCAGTCAAACATCTAGACAATTGAACTATAAATTAATAAAAAGAATTAATAATTTCAAAGAATTCATATGGGTTCTAATTCATAAAACAGGGTGCGTAGCCAAATCTTTCAACAAAAAATAAGCACCTTTTAAGTACTTTTTAAGCACTCAAAAATATTTGTAAGCATTATATACATTAACAAAATGCAAAATAATTTTCAAAGACTTTAACAAAATCCTGATAAAATAACTAGTTTCTGATACAGAACTTGACTATATTAGCCATTATAAAATGATCAAGAGATTATTGGGTTCGATATCAAAGGGTGGAAAATGAAGCCTGAAATTGAGAATATCTTGCAAAATGCAGCAGAGTTGGACATGCAAGTGCAATTATCTCACAGAACCTAGCTCAATAGACGCACCCACAGAATCCAAAATATTTTATCAAACATGTAAAATGATTGGCACTTTTACTCTACAGACCGAGTGTAAGCCAAAATGGATTGTGGTTGAATGAATTGTGAAAGCGTTGAATAGAACAATTTGAAAAGCATGCTTTTGCATAATACGTGGCGAAAATCGACATGGTAAAGAAAAAATTCTCATTTTTGAAAAGGAAAAATTGAGAACTTTTTAAAAACAGTCAATTAAAAAAAAGCACCTTTCAGGGATTTTAAAAAACGAAAATAAGTACTTTCAAGGACTTCTTAAAAACGCTACGCACCATATAAAACTGCTTTAAAGAACCTTAAATTTTCTTTTCATTCCTTTACAGACATGACAAAAATTTATATTTTCACAATTCTCAGACGCCAAATGAAGAAAATTCATCATTTGGATATTTCAATACCTACATAATTGAATATCAAGAAATTCTTACACTGAGACTTGATTCATTAGAAATCGGATAGGGAAAGGATAAATTTATTTATAATCCAAATTTGTTTTTTTAAGTTACACTTAATTTGTCTTTCACTTAAATTTTGACCTAGTTTTGGAGTAATTAAAATTTTCCTGTAATTTTATGAATTTTTTACTTTTTTAACATAACGGAATTGCACTAGATTTATAATTTTTAGCAAAGATATAATTTTATTAATGAAGATAAGAATGACCTTTTTAACAATTTAAATTAGTTTAGGAATAATGAAATTTAATTTTTGGCTTTTTTTTCGATGAAAATCCCAAAACAAAAAATTTGCATCTTATTCTTTTTTTAAAATAAAACATGGTTTGTTTCTCTTTAAAAAAAATGTAATTTATTTATTATTATAACAAAAAATATTTATGTAAATATTTTTATTATAATAATAAATTATTATTATAACAATTTTATTATAATAATAATTTTTATTATAATATAAGATCTCAACAGGTTTGCCTTCTATGGTGAAATGTTTTTCGTTGACAGAACAAAGTTCTATAGTCTGTTTTCTATCAATAATTCTGAATCTAAATTCAAATTAACCTCGCAAAATAAGCTGAAATAAATTCTTACATTTTTAGCAATTGATACATATTGTGACCCAAAGTATATCCTATTTCTTGCTATATATATATAAAAATATAATGATGGTGTTACAATTTTCCATTGTTGTCCGTGCATTTTTATTGGCTGGAAAATCACGTGGTAGAATCCAGTTTTTCCTCATTCATTTCCATATTGATTGGCTATCATTAGGATAAAATTAATAAAAGGCATAAAGGTATTGTTTTACTATAAATATTTTTGTGTCCCTAATTTAAAGTTATTTTCCAGTACTGCTAATATTATGCTTTTAATTCATGAGTTTGAAACTAAGTCAGAATTGTTGCTGTTTTATTATTATTATAATGTAATTCTGCGCTACATTTTAAGATAGTTATTTAGAAAGGCGGCCTAATCTTATTCACAATTACTATTTTTGTACAAATAACATTAATATATTTTTATAAATTATAGTTAAAGAGATCTGCTAAATGATTTAGAACTTAATGATCAGCTTCATGCACAATGAGATAGAAGCAAAAATAGATTTTAATACATCCGTCAGCTTGGTAAGCGAAATCATTAAATTATGGTTGTGAACTCATCAAATTAGTTTGAATAATATAATGTTAGGAGATTATAAATGTTTATATTTAGCAGATGTTTTCGGGTGAATCCTAGAATAGCTAATCCCTTGGTGACTTTTTGAAATCTCGCTAAACTGGGTTTCAGAAAGATATTTGGGGGAGATATGTTGCAACCTTATTGCAAGTTATTTTTTTATATTTATAAAAAATATTTTAATAAAATCATAATAATTAGAATTGTTCCTTTTAATAGTAAAAAAACAACTTTGATCCAAGTAATAATAGCCAACTTGGCGAGATTTTGAAAAGTCATGGGATGGACTATTCAAGGATTTTACCCTGTTTTCTGCTAAGAAACAACAATTATTGCAAAGCAATCATCAAGGTTGGTGAGAACAGGGCTTAGCCCCCCAGTTTATGATATTTTATAAAATTGGTTTAAATATAAACTACAATAGAGATGTGAAAACTAGTAGCTTAATATTTAAGGATATTTAATTTATAAGTTTAAAAATACCAGTCCACTACAAAATCTTAATTTTATTGGTAATCTGTATCACTCTTGGCAAGAGAAATAAAATAAGCAAACAAAGGGATCTGAAAAGAACTGCAAGCAATTCCAGTGTATGCAAGTAACAGTAAGGAGGAAATGGAACTTGCTTATATATTTAAGAAAAAGTTTACAATCGGTAAAAATTATTAGAACCAATAATATACCTTATATCTTGAAATTTTTTTGCAGGTTTTAAAATTTCAATTTTCAATTCATTTCCCTGAAATAAATAAGTTTTGTATTACCTCTTCCATTATTTATATATCCTTGCATAAACAATTATTAACATGTTAATTTTAAAACAAGCAGACTTTTGCATAAAAGTTAATGAATAATAATTATAGAATTGCAGGTTGATTGGTTGGTGTTCCAAGAACAACAAGATGCAGCTGCACAAAGCCAAATTCAAACAAATTAATCATAAAAGATTTTATGAGAACTAAAAAATAATATTGATTCCATTAAAACAAATAATCAAAGTTTGAGTAGAATATAATAGTGATTTATACAGGAAAACTAGAAATATGATTAATAATTTATATCATTTCTTAAAACTAGACTTGAGAATTAAATACCACATTATTTTTTTTAAAGAAATAACACACTTGAAATGATTATTCGGTCAGTAATTTGCAGTTTTGTAAAGCATAAAATTTTTAACACTTAGCTTGTAACATTCCATTCTGATTTCTTAATATTTGGGGTTTCTATGTTTACACTAGTTATGGTTAATGGGCAGCCTGTCACCAGGGAGCAGAATTATCAAATGTGACATCAGATTGCAACATTAAATGTCCAAAATTAAAATTTGCATTTATTTTAAAGTTAGAGATAATCATAATAGTTTACTTCATGTTAAACTAAGTTGGCATGGACATTATGGAAATCACATATGGGTTCAAACAGAACTGCTACTCGTACTTCAATGTTAATGACTGCTGTTTTTACAACATTGTCTCGCATTCATCATCATGCTAAGTTACCAATTAATATTTGTCATGCATTTATGCACTGTATTGCATTCCACATTAAATATATGTTTAAGACATTGCAAGTGTCTGTGAAGTTCTAATTTACATAGAGTTATCACCAGTCTCCAGCCCTTGCATTCTTCTGATGATCAGTGGGCACTTTCCTCAAAACATCTCATTTTCAGGTTTTTGAAAAGAAAAGAAAACATGTGGCAAGCGAACTAAAACCATTTACAGTTTGCACATCACGAACTTTAAATTGGAACAACGAAAACATGATATATGAATTTACAATTACAATTTATTAAAAAATTAATCAATTTTTAATCTTTGCAAATATAGTGAAATTTGAATTTTTTACCTCAGAATCCTTCTCTACAACTGCTGTGTCTTCAACTTGAATGACAGCATCAGCTTTGAGAGGAATTGCTGATCCAGTGCTGACTCTAATGCAAGAGCCAGTTTTTAAATCAAAATCCAGCTTTGAAAAGGAACAAAGTTTGATTATAGTTTCAAATTAAAAAGAAAAGCAAGAAATATGTCTTTTTTTTTATTCTCTGGTTTTAGGAAGTTCATTGATAGATTTGTTCTAATAAATTAATCAACAAATATAAAATATGCCCTGCCTGACTGGATCATCATTGCATAACATAAACTACTGAAGCAAAAAACATGAAATCTGGACAATGAGTTCCTTTCATGATGTAGGAAAGATTGTTTTAATATTCCCCCCCAAAGGAAGTAAATAGGAGTCCAGAGATTGTAATCTAAAAAATTAGTATTCCTAAAACCTAATTAGTATTAATAAAATTTTCCAAAGTGTTAATTTTGTTTAGAGTTATGATTTTAAAATACGATTCAATAAAACTAAATAATTTAAAATCAATTAATAAGACTAATTTGTTAAATTGAAACATTAAAAATCACAAAAAACAATGATGCTCAAATATTTTTGGTAATTAGCACTACTGATTTATGATAATTGGTAGAGTTTGACTGGTGCATTAGATTGGCTCAATCTAATCGCATAAAGCCACAGGGCCCTGTGGCAGAATTTTTTCGGGCGACAAACCACTCTAGTACTGATATCTTTCTGCTAGATACTTTCAATAATAACAACTATTTATGTTACTAATTTAAAATAAGAAAAACGTTGTGTTTACAAACAAAAACCTATTTTGATAAAATAAATTGTATTTAAATATTTTTAATAGTATATGCAATATTTATTTTGTTCTAATACTATGGACGGTATTTTTTGTAGGAGAAAAACGCACCTTTTTCTGTTTCACATTTTGTAAATCATCATCACATTAAAAAAACTAATTAAAAATCGAGAAATCCATTGCAGTAACTACCAAAAAAAAGATTGATGACGAAATCACACAAATCAGACTCTTTAATAAGGGGTTACTCATATGCATTTTTTGTTTCAAGATTCAGTTTTTGTAATGAACATTATATTAAGAATATCGGATTTTAAAAATCTTGGGGGGGGGGGAATCAATATCAATAACTGTTGAAAATATAACATTATATTAAATGTAACATTATAGGTTTACAAAAACAAAATTTTTTGCTTCCCAAAAGAAAAATCTTTAAACCAGAACTCTGTAACTTTCTGTGACAATGTCACTGTGATTTGGCCACTGGAAAGAGTAACAAGTCATAATAAATAAAAAAATGGAGTTATTTAAGCTTTATTACTCGTGGAATATGTCTTTTAGTTTTATTCCAGATTTAAGTGTTATTTGGTACTGATTTATTGATTATTTACTTTTTTTCATGCCTATATGAAGAATATTTCATCTAGTTTGATCCAAAAAATTTTTTTTAATTAGATATGAAAAGATGTAAGTTTAAAAAACAGAGCAGGGTAGAAAATTCAAGTTGAAAAAAAAATGGAAGAAATCCTACAATTTTTTTTATTTGGGAGGAAAAATGATCAGTAGAAACTCTACTTACTTCACATCCTGGTGAAACAGCTCCTATTACATTACGAATTGTGGTTTCATCATCCGCTACAAAAATATTCTGTGTTATTAATTTTACTGAAAAAATTGTATCAAACTTAAAAAATTTAACTTATTTCCATTTCGAAAATTAATGTTTTTTAGGCTCAATAAGAAATATTTCAAACATAATTCATTACTTTAAATATTTAAAAGATTTGGATAATTAGAATTATTGTTTTGTGTGAGTGTTTTTTTTTTAATATAGTTTTTGTATAATAATACTTTTACATCTTTATAGACAATTTCTTCAAAATTGTATTCGATAATATAAAAGATTTCTCAATATTATAAGTTAATGCAGTTTGTAATAAATTATCTTTTCGTGACAAATCTTTTAAAAAAGGAAAATATTAAATGTTTTTATTAAGTTTTCAAAATTCAAAAAAAGTGTTAGTGTAAAAGGCATATGCTCTCTCATTAGAATATAAATTAAATGATTTCCAACAGAAGCATTTTACTTAACTAACCATTCTTGGCCCTCACCCATTCATTACTTTGTAGTTCGTCACTTAGTGTTATAACATTTCGATAACATGAAATATCAATGATTAATAATAATATAAAAATAACAAGTGCAACTTTCCTGGATTCTTAATGTTATTGCGGCCTAACTACCGCTATAAATATTAAATACCAAATCACTATCATATAAGACATGTTAACTTGATTCTATCTATAGGCACTTTTTGATAGATGAAGGTTGGCATAGTCAATAATTACACCCCCTTATTGTACTGATTATTCTTAATACTAATACAATATATTATTGTAATTAAGTGTTAGAAAAAATATGTAAAATGGACACTGATGTCCGGCCTGCATCAAATGGGTTACAGCTAACATTTAATAGTGACCTGGATGTCATGTAAATTAGATAACAAGATAAATATGGCTAGGTGTCTGCTTTGCTGATTTTAAAAATGAATCCCTCTAAATGTGAAACGTCCTTGTGTTGTGTATTTTCAAGCTAAAACACGGTCTTTACAATAACCTTGACATATGTTAATTACAGATAATAGCAGCCTTGAACCAGCATATTCTTTACATTGCACTTTTCATCCATGAAACATTATTTTTTATACACACATAAATGTAGAAGAAAAGTTATATTAGCACCAATATTTCTGTTAGTTACCAAATTATCATTAAAGTAAGGCATTGTTTAGTTAAAATTAGTAAAATGTTTCCCAAGGATCATTATATCACACATCGACTGTACAATATTTTTCAGAATTTTAAAATATTTAACATGCTCTGACTGATGTTTATTAGCACTAAACAATATCGGCTAAATTCCGTTACAGCTATCTATCAGAGAGTTTTTATTGAGAGCAAAGTAAAAAAATAATCTTCATAACAGCTGTTCCCAACCTGCCAGACACGTGCAGACTAGTTTAGTTTGTCTACGGTAAGAACTCCCCTCGCCACAAAGTCTGAAGTCGTCTGCTGCTATCGAAACAAGAATAGCACATTTCAGGGAGGGTAGCATCTCCTCAATATAGGGCTAACACAATAGATTGAAGAAAATTATTCCATTTCTCTCGCCGACCAGACCGAGCCAAAACCAGTCCTAAACAATGACCCAACACCCTACTTGAAATAGTTATACCTTGTTACCACAGTCACCGCCACAGGACCAGACGAATAGCTAGGGGAGTACTTACTTTACACAAACTATACTGGGTCATGGCACTTGATGGGTTTTTTGTCAACCTATCGACCTGAACAAGCCTTTTCAACTTCAGTTTCTTTGGGTAAATTAAAAGATTAAAGGAAATAAATTAAAAACAAATAAAGGAATAAATCGAAAGAATTAAATATATAAATTGAATGTTAAGAAAGAATGATTTGAGACTAAAACCATTCGATTTCAATCTGGATATCCACTCTCTTATTAAGGACAAACACTTCAAAAGTCCCTTTAACGTTTTTTTAAAAGTTTAATTATTTTGATTGTTTTATAATTGTGACGTCTAAGTGAATGAAGTAGCAACATCTATCATATTTATACAGGGTGTCCTAAAACTCATGGTAGATACATTTAGAGGGTGAAACACAACTGGGCAAGTATGAGGCTTTTCATATGACCCCAGAAGAAAAAGTCCAGATATGAGCGGGTGGACCAGTTGATTGGGCCACCCTATCGTAAGACACCTATTATATGTAAAAGTATCATACATAAAGTGTCTATTTGTCATTACATTTTTCACTTGTACATTCACTTGTTCATTACATTTTTCATTTTCAACTTTCGGTGCGAGCCGGATGCGAAATACGTACCTAACCCGGTTCACCTCAATGAAGGTCAACACTCTATTCCCTGAGCTGTTATGAGCTCAGGGGATATACAGTAATTAGTAGACCTCAAAGTTTTTTTATTTAATTATTTTTTTAACAAAATTGGTTGACTGCACAACTAAAAAGGTTAGGAACTACTGCCTTAGAAAAATGTTTATAACTAATATAGACTACTATTTTTTGTCCATAATAAATTCAGTTATACCTAGAACAGCATATCCATCTTTGATTGAAGCATTAAATGGTGGATAGGGTTCTTCAGCAATGACATTTTCCCCAAGAACATAACTCAATGAATCTAAAATAAATCATGTGATATTAAATGTATGTTAAAATATATTAATCTGTTTCTTTAATGCATACAAACGTTTTGAAAACACTGTACATGAACTGAAAATATCTCCATTATCTCAGAACAAAGATGGTTGATCCCAACTGATATTGAATTTTGAGATACATGTATGCAAAAAAAAAAAAAAAATAACCTTGACAACAACAAGAATATAAACAAGAATAACCTTGTTTCACTTTAGACAAATTTGGCAGGTAAGAAACGGGAATTCTAGCACATATCGACTAATTTAGTACTTCAGCATATAAAATATAGATAGCTGACTTATATACTCTCATACATTTATCTCAAAACTTGTGATTTATTAGAATCTGTTGTTAGTATTCAAAACCCTTCAATTCATTTTTATAAGCTCGTTTTTTATGGAGGACGGTATATTCTATTTTAACTTCATTTAAAAAATTAATTTTATCTAGATGAAAATAAAAATTTATCATTGCATAAAATATAATTAATCCAAACACAAATAATTTTAATGAAAAATTGGATAGAAAAATTGGATTATTTTATTATGAATAAAATAAATCATTTGGGAAAAAGTAGATAGAATAAAATACATGCTAGTCTAGAAAATACATGCTTAAAGGAAACTTTTACACACCTAAACATAATTTTTGAAAATGTATTAATGTAAAAATATGAATGTATCTATAATAAATCTGTTGAAAACAAATTACATTAGCAACATTATACCTACATCAACTCTTTCATTTTAAGCATAAATCAGCTTGTTGTTCATTTATTATTTTTTTTAATAAATTTTTATTTACATAATGAAGTTTAGGAACACTTCTCATGAAACGTAATTGATTTTTTTTCTTGCCCTTTGGTAATGTTCACCTGTTCCATGCAACTTCTTGGCGATTTTATTTTGTTTGGTATTTTACAGAATTTTTGATTAAATAGTTAAATTTTTCACAAAATATGTAAGCATAAAAAATGCATACACAATCAAAATTTTTACCTGGTTATGTTAGATAATATAATTTTCAAGTACTGCTAAAACTTTATTTTTAAAGCAGGCTCTTAAATTTTATAATCATAAAAGAAAACTCAAAGCAGGTATCAATATATTTTTCTTTTTTTTTTTTTTTTAGCCTTTCATCATTTCGACAATTAACATTTATTTAAAGTTTTAATGAGAGTTTTACTATTATATTTTTCTTAATATAAATATTTTAATACAATTAAAGGTTATAAGGGCAACTCAACCAATTAAGTTTTTCATACTTGCAGACTTCGAAAGCATATAGTTTAGTTTAAAAATAGTTTAGAAGTTCTAATAATTTTCCTTAAGTCTTGGTGTAACCTTACAACTACCCCACTCCTCAGTAACTTTTATGTGTGTTATAGATAAGCGTTGTGAAACACAATATGCTATGCTAAGTCTTAGTGTAAACAACACTAAGACTTATTTTCACAAAAAATTATTAGAATTGATCAAATTTATTTAAAACTGAATGATTGCTTTTAAATTATACAAACACGACATGCCTAGAAGTAAATTTAGATATGTTTCAGGATGAAATTCATAGATTATTAGAGGATTTTTGGGGCCTTTGTTATTTTAAGGGTAATTTTAGGGTTTATTAACTACTATCAATGCCAAAGGAAAATTTATATTACTATACAAGTAATGTACCAAGGCCAACATACCTTTAAAACTTTTCCATGTTATGGCTAAAATATTGCCAAGGGTCTGTCCAGGGTAAATTTACTACCATTTGTTTTTATTAAATTCAAATTGAAATTTAACTATGGACAATGATTTTTATGGATTTTGCAATTTAGATAGAATTTTTAGCCCAAAATTTACAATAGCGAAATTGTTTTTTGAATACATATGGGGGAAAATGTACAGAAATTTACCAGTCATAAATGATTTTTATTTCTAGTGACAATTTTTGAAAATATTTTCTTATTCTACCATACTTTTGTGTTGATTTTTTAATATAAATTTTTATTTTCACAAATTATGTCTAAATTTTCTGAAAATAGGTACCTCTTAAAAAAAAACTAGACTGATCCCTAACTGCTTTCATTCAAAACATATTCAACAGAAGCAATGAAGACCAATGTATGAAGGCCAACCTACTTTCAAAACTTTTCCATGTAGTGGGTAAAATATTGCTTTCATTCAAAACACATTTGACAGCATCAGATACAGAAAGCATAGGAAAAAGAGACTGTCTAGGTCTATCAGCTACTTTCAAAGGCACAACTCGACCTGAAAATGACATTCAAAAGATATTTACAGAGAAGCTATGTTATTCCTTTGAAAAATATAACAACTTGTAATATAAAACCTATAGTATATGTAAATAAAAAAACTAAGGAATTCAAATAAGTCTTACTTTTAAAAACTGTTTCATTTTGAGGCTGCAAATGCAAAAATTTTGTTTTAGAAAAACATAAATTGTTTCAACAAACTATTAACATTCTGTTTACGTGACTGTAAACAATATTCAACAGATAATTGTAAACTAATTTGTACTCAGAGATTCATTTATTATTAAGAAAAAAGTTGTAGTTTTATCAGGTTTTTGTTAACACAAAATGAAAATTCAACATTCTATTTCATTAAAATTACACAAATACTTGAACAAAAATACACATTGCTCACAGCATAAAATTTACTAAAATGAAACAATGTCTAATAAAATTGTTTTTGAAATTATATTGCTCTCATAAAAAATTGGATCAGACCTTAACAACAGTTGGTAGCAAGCAACAATAAAATTAATATTTTATTCCACTAAGACATATTTAAAAAAGGGGGAAAAATAACTAAAAACAGCAATAAATTGTGTTTCTCACATAAAACTATTACTTTCTAACAAAGGGATATCAATTTGTGATGATGCCTCTATGGAACCTTTTCAGAGTAACGGATAATTTTCAACAGCTCTTTCCATCTTAAAGCACAAATTGTTACAAAAACTTAAAATTTTTTCTTAATTTTGAAAGAGTGGAGAAAATGAGGGATGAATGTCAAAATAACATAGATTTATGCCAATAAAAATTGGAAATTTAATTACTTCACAATTTTTAAAAACTTTCCATAACTTTGCATTTGGAACAAAAATCCATAATAATCACAAGCTCACAAAATTTATAGCTTACAAAAGAATTTACTTCTCTTTTTAAGTTTTATTAAAACATAAAATAAAAATTTAATCAATATTTCACAATCTGATGTTTTGTTTTTTTATTTGAATTTAGTACTCACAAATAATAGAAGAAATATCAAACTGTTATAGATATAGAATAAAAATTGGCAAAATTGACCCCTTAAGTATTTGGCCTGCCTCTTTCTAACTTTAAACTACAAACTTTCCAGCATTGAATAAAACTGGCTTCCTCCATAGGAGAGCAGTGCTTAGCTGGGAAATTTCAGCACAATTTTACCCAGGGGCTCAATGTTTGGAGGGAAAAAGTTTTCCTTCATAATTCTGTAGACAGGGTTGCCACTCAAATATAGAAAAAAATTCCCCTGTACATATTATACACAATATATTAAGAGAAAAAACACAATCACTGCGCTCTAGTATGAACTGTATTGGGCTAACTAAAGTACTTATAATGGCAGAAACAACTTAGAGAAAAAAGGGAACAGCTGAACATTTTTAAAACAAATTATGATATAGCAAATGAACTCGTTTAATATAACTGAAATATCATCCTCAAATGTCCCATAGTATGCACTGAGTGGTTACTATTTTTTTCAATGGAAGAAAATAGGAAACAAAATTTCCTGAATTTTCTCAGTTTCTTAAGAAAAACTAAAAATTCCTTGCATTTTCCCTCTTATTTTAGGTGATTTTTAAATTCCCTGTATTTTACAGGTTTTCCCGATTTTCCCTGTGGAGTGGCAACCCTGGAATAATAGCAGATTAATTCAACTTTTCTCAACACAGAATAATCACAACAGAGAATGAATGATCAGTAATGCAGAATGACCATTGATAATAAAAATGTCAAAAAATAAAATAAATACAGGAGTGCCAACTTTTTTAGCTTATTAGGAAAATTACTTCTAGTGATAGCTAAATTTTTGTTTTCTCTTAATAAATAAATAATGTTAAGTCATACGCCTGAAACAATCTAGAATCATAAAAAGCTTGATATTTTTGAAAATGTCAAATATTTTGATGTGTATCAGACATTTTTGATATACACATCTCTTGTGATGAGGACCTGTNATTGATAATAAAAATGTCAAAAAATAAAATAAATACAGGAGTGCCAACTTTTTTAGCTTATTAGGAAAATTACTTCTAGTGATAGCTAAATTTTTGTTTTCTCTTAATAAATAAATAATGTTAAGTCATACACCTGAAACAATCTAGAATCATAAAAAGCTTGATATTTTTGAAAATGTCAAATATTTTGATGTGTATCAGAATATTTGACATTTTCAAAAATGTCTGCATTTTTGATATACATATCTCTTGTGATGAGGATTTTAAAATGTTATCAAAAACTCTTAAACACTAATTTTTAATTGTATACCACTCTATAAAATAATTTTAAAAAAAAATGCAGTAATTGGCAGCCCTGTAAATATCAAATGTCTTATACACTCATTAACTATAAATTTTCATAAGAAAATTTAAAGTAAAAAATTTACAAATTACCCCTGAATTTAAAGAACTAAGAACATCCGAACATTTCTTTATTTCTTGCACAGCAAGCATAACATCTTCCAATAAATAGTCCTCAAAATACTGAAAATATTTGGTGGAATTTTATAAATACAATTTATATAATATTAAATGAAAATGTGTACAGTTTAATAAATGACTAACAAAGTAACTTTTATGAATAAAAAAAAAGCATTCTCACAGTAAGGCCCCTTTACTTTAAAGAAGTATTTAGCTAATTTAAATGAAATTTTTTACAAAAATTATGAAAGTTTAAAAAAAAAAAAAGGAATTTTATTTAAGAACTTACATCGTTAGAATTTAATTTCAATAAACAAAAAAAAAAAATTTTGACAAATTATTCTTGTTTTTTCCTTGATAACTTGAATGTATACAGACATTTTATAAATACAAAATTATTAACAGTATCTAAAAACATACAAGAATGAACTCAAACAAATTCCAGCAAAACTGTTTTGTCAAAAAAGATAAAGTAATAATCTGATTCTCTTGCCTTGTTGGGTAACTATATTTTATTTGTGATTTTGATCCTTATATAGCAATCAAATTCATAGCTGTTTTTTTTCCTATTTTTTTTAAAAATAACTTTTGTTTTCTTCTATAAGCAAAAGGAAGAGTTTTGTTGTAATTTATTAAAACTTCTTTTCTACCCAATTTGAAGTTTAAACTAGTGAAACTGAAGATTCAAATTTGAGACTGAGAATGGTAAGAGAAATAGCGTACATTAAAAGATGAAATATTTAAAATAAATTAAAAATTGCATGAGAAATATATTAAGAAAATAGTCTTGTGGGAAATATAGGAGAAAAATGTTAAAAAACTGAAAATTTAGCATTTGATTAAAAGAAGCTAAAATTAGTTCAAAAAAGAAATTAATACCTTCAAGTTTTCTATTGATAATATGAGAGATACAACCAACGTTGTTCCATTCACATAGCATTTATACCTAAATAAGACATCGTTAGAACATTAATTTAACTTCATCAAAACTTAACAATTAAATAACATATGGCGACATTAATTAAGGATAAAAGTAATTTAGTCACTGGATGTTTTGGCAGACATTGCATAAGTTAGTTAACATTTTGAAATGTATCTTTTATTCTCATACAGTACCGAACCTTATGTATAAAAGATAAAAACTGAAACTGCAATATTAAAAACGTGAATTTTAGATGAAAAACTAACAATACAAAAGTGAAAGAACTAGCTTTTGCAAGACACTATATAAATTTTAACTCAATTGGTCTCAGTTTAATGGCATGTCAGATTTGGCAAAGAGACTTTTTTTATTTTGTTTTATAACCGACCCAAATCTAAGTTTAGGACTATCAATATTTAACTTTGTAGTCTAGTAATTTTGATCCCAACTCAGAAGACAAGGGAACTCTTGGATTAAACATTGGAACAAACAAGCCTTCATGGAAGACTTTTTGGTGGAACTAACCCGTGATTACGTTACATGGAGAAGGAAACCACTAAAGCCTTTCATCGTTAACCAGATGGCAAGGGGATTCTAACCCATAATCCGTCTACCGGCCACAACTACAATGAATCTTGGAAAGTCTGGGATATTGCAAATCAAATAGAACTTTTATATTACAATTTAATATAACCGAACCTTATGTATAGGCTGGTTTTATGTATGAGTACAGGCAGGTATAAAATTTTATCTACAGGTATCAAAAAATAAAAAGTTACTCATCCTTCATTACAAGTTAACATAAAGAAATACTCATGCAATTAATACTCCACATTAATTAGCCACTGTCCTTTATATTCCAAACACAAGTATACAGAAAAATTGGATAAAAGTTTTAATTAAGATATCACATAAGATATAGGCTCAAGAATACAGCTAAAAATGCTTATTTAACTCTCACAATTACACAATTTAGAAATTTCAACGACTACTTTTTCTTTGTGATTCTCACAAATAAAAAAATTAAAAAGGAGTTAAAACTTATATTTTAAGCATGAATGGTGGTGATGCTAGACAGAGATGAAGAGAACAAAATGCAGCACACAAAACATTGTGCTCTCTTCTTGTTGTTATTAGAACACATTTAGTAGAACTAATTGCACGTCAAACATTTATACGTAGATAATTTTTTTAAATATCATCTTTCTAAATAATCAATGATTCTCTTGTCAAACATAAATACATTTTCGTTCATCTCTACCAAAATTAAGCTAAAAATTAGTCATAATCCCTAAATTTGACTTTCTCCCCTTTATCACAAAAAATAAAACTAAAAGAAATTCAAAAAGAAAAATATTTTAAACCAAAATACTTAGATAATTAGTATGGTGATGAAATTCATAGTTTACATTCAATATGTAACATAATCATAATTCATAGAAATAGAAAGGAATTAAAATTTGAATTATTTACAGAAATGTAATTTACTTGGAGGAAACTAAAGGTACAGCATCATTATCTTGAAAAATAAGTTTTTTGAGATGAGGGCAGAACTTGAGATTGCCAGCAGAGTGAGTCTAAAATTAAAAGTTAATTTTTAATAGAAGTATTGAAGCCACGGTATAAAAAATTGACAGAAATACGATGAAATAATTAAAACTCTAAAAAATTTTAATATACCATATTACACGGAAAATTGGTTAATAACTGTTATGAATTGTTAGGCAGAATCCTTGTAATAAAATGAAATAAAAATTCAATAGCAAAACTTTTCTGCTGTTGATATTTAGCACATTTAATGTCTTATAAAGGTTATTAAAATTTAATTGTTAAAATGAATACCATATTGAAATGGAATACAACCCAATGAAGACCTCAATCATTATTAATAAAAACATACAAATAAAAATCAGATAATAATAATATAGAATCAAAATCCTGATATAAGATCATATCAAGAAATTTAATAAAGTTTAACATTATAAGGAGATTACTTTTATATAATCAGACAATCAGTGATTGTAAGACTTAACATTTCACTGCTATAAGCCCATTGCCTCAAAAGAAAATACCAAATTAAAATGATTACATTTTAATACTTTTAAAAAAGTTATCAACTAGATCAGTAACTTAATGTTACAGAACACATTTGAAGTATGACTTTTTCTGATGTATTTTTCTTTAATATTTTTATTAATATTCAAGAAAGTTCAGGGACTAAGTTCAAATAGTTTGTGGGATACTTTTGGTCATAACCATTACATAGATTATAACTAATGTCCAGATTTTAATGACCGAAAAATACCTATGTCCTTAAAAATACAAAAAATGCCCTATTATTTAAGTAAAAATATTAAACCAAAACAAAGTTTTCTTTGCTAAAATTACATTCATTTATGTCAAAATAAAGAAAGCAATGCAAATACATGTTCTATATATTTTCTTTTTAATGAATATAACTTTCATCAGAATTACATTGAATTATTATATCAAGTTTTCTATCAATAATGGACAATAGACATTCCTGTGCTGCTTTACGGAAGCGAAACTTGAACCCTAAACTCAGATATACAGTGGACACTAGACACCTTCGAAAGAAAGATCCTCAGAGCCCTCTTTGGAGTAATTCAAGAAAGGGGATGTTGGCGAACCAGATATAACTTCGAGCTCTACCAACTCCATAAGCAGCTCCCAAATTTCACTAATAATCCACAGTAATAAGCTGAGATGGCTGAGCCGTGTATGGAGAAGCTCTAAAAATAGTGCCATAAGAATCATCAACTTTAAGAACCCTGAAGGGTCACGCGCCAGAGGTAGACCCCCTACTAAATGGCTCAACGCCATCGAAAATGATTTGAAAACTCTAAAGATTGGAAATTGGAAGGGAGTTGCCTTGAATAGGTGTAGGCGCTTGTCAACTGTTGAACCTGCAATGGGCTGTTGAGCTGATAAAGAAGAAGGGCAATAGTAAATTTTTTCCTAGAAAAATTTTATGTTCTAAATAATACAAATCAGATAAAATGGGAAAGCAGTAAAAAAGAATTACCTCAAAAAATATTATATTGATAATATCGAGGGAAAACTTGGTTAAAGGTGGTACTATAAATTACAATATAAAATTAAAACTTGCATTTAATGTAATAAAAATTACCCAAAACCAAGGAAATACTAAAAATTGTAAAAAAGAATACCCCAAAAAATTTAAAAATGCTAAATGGCAAAAAATTAAAAAATTAAAAACATTAAAAATGCATATGTTGTAAAATTCCAAGCTTTAACTATGACAGCTCAACAGCTTATCTTCCACAAAGAAGTTGCGTCACATAATTATTTACAATCATAAGATTATTACAGGAAAAATATTTAACAAAACATCAATTCATGACTGTTTTGATTATGTAAATTTTAGTTCCCTCAAATATTATTTCTTTACAATAAATTTATTTTTCGCTCTATCGAAAATACATTACATAATAAATAACAAATAAGCTGCTAAAATATCCTACAAAGAGAAATGCGTAGACACAGAAAAATATGTAAGTGCCAGTTCTGAATATAATATTATTAAAGTTAAAAAATATGATAAAACAAAATTTAATAAAGATTTACTTTATCAAGTATTCTGCTAACAGGAAAAATTTCCTTGCCAAAGACAAAAATCAATTTGATATCTTCAAATTCACTCCACTCTTCAATGAGAAACTAAATTAATAAGAAATTGGACGTAAGTGAATGCAATGTAGAAATTATTCAAGAAAAAGAAATTTTAGATTTAAAATAATACACTCATAAATAATACAGCTCATAAGTAATACAGCTGAATAGTTTTAATAATAAGTTAATATTAATTGTAAAGTTGATAATGAAAAAAAAATTCTTTTTAAATAAAAAGTAATAACATTTCAGTTTGAGAGATTATTTATTTGAGCTTATTTAAAAATTCATTCTAATTCAATCAGTCATATTCAAAAAGTTTTCAAAATTCATTAAAAAACCAGAAGTTTTTAAAATGATAATAAAGAAAAGAAGCAATTGAAAAGAGATTCTTTAGGATAAACAATATAATTACAAATAACAGGTTATATTACTAGTTAAAAACCTTAGAATATTTTGAACAAATTTTTAAGTAACTTACTTTCAATTTAAAGAGATTTCTTTCTATTTTTCTCCTCTTACACAATAAACTCTTGAAACTATAAATAAATAAATCAGCACTAAAAGTGTGTTATTGTAAATAGGAATAAATTGTATAAAATATAATTTTAAAACGGATTTATAAAAGAATAAAGTCTACAGTGATAAAATTGTTTAAGTTGGATAAAATTAATAAAAATAACACTTAACAACGTTTACACAATCTAAAAAATCTAACTTAATGCACGATAGACAAAACTTTTTATTTTAGTTTCAGAATGAAATCAGACAAATAATTTCTAAATAATAAAATGAAATAGAAATTTTTATATCATATAACTCATATTTTTTGGGAATTATTACATTAACAAATAATTCCTCATTAAATTTTTAACAATCTGGAAATATTTTAGAATAAAAATTTAAAGATGTGTTAAAAAAGTTTTTGATGTGCTAAACAGTTTCAGGGATATGGCAAAATACGAAAAGCTAAATGAATATTTAGAAGAATTTGTTGTCAGTGTGATATGGCCAACAGACAATACAGAAGACAACGTCTGAATGAGTTTACATGAGATCGAATCATTGGGAAGTTGTAAGAAGGTCGAAGTGTGACCAATGCGGCTGCGGAGTTTGAGATCAAACATCATTTGCACAGCATTGTTTCACGAGCTTAGAACAGATTTCAGAGGATGGGAACAGCAGTCCAGAAGTTTAGTAGACGTCGTCGCACAACTACAGCAGCAGGCGATTATTATATATATATATTTCAACAGGATAGAAAAAACAGACAGCTGGAGAAATCCCTAGACACACACAGCAAATTACTGGACTCTCAATATCTCATTTCACCAGGGCCAGAACATTCAACAGGGGTGGTCTGTTTGCATGACAGGCAGTACAGTGTGTTCCGCTAACCCCAGTTCACCGAAGACACCATTTAATATGGTGCCTTAAACACAACAACTGGACAGATGAGCAATGGGGTCTAGTACTTTTTACAGATAAGAGCAGATTTAGCCTGATCCGTAATTCTGGATGCATACACATCAGGAGAGAGCAAGAAGCGTGCAATAAATTCTCTATAATCATTGAAAGAGACTGATTTGGAGGAGGCTGAGTTCTTGTATGGGGCGGTATCATGCTTGGTACCCATACTGATCTACACATCTTCTAAGGAGGTTCAGTTACAGGCATACATGCCCATGATTCAGTTTACATGCATTCTGTATTTATACTTAAATATTTTTATTTGTATGTTGTTTATAGTTTTCCTTATTTTAGTTTTCAGATTTTAAATTTCTTTTTTCAAATTATTTTGTAAATAATTTTTTTTCTTCTAGTTAAAAATATTTTTTCCTTGTTTTCTTTCTATTTTTCTCTTGTAATACATATATGTACACACATAATACTATTAATAAATAAGTACTAAAAAACAGTATGAAATCATGCACAACTGAATGATATTATAAAATATACCAATACAATTAATAAAGCTAGAATAATGCCATTTTTTTTACTTATAGTTACTTTTGTCTCGCCAGCAACTTTATGTCGTTAGATCGAGCAAAACACATTATTAGTAGTTTATATCATCAAAATAACGATTAACTGTATTCAGTATCTTTTGGAATGATGTTCCTGTCAGAAACCAACTTATGATGGTCAGAACTGACCACAATTAAGCTATTTTGCTGGTACTTATACTGGTCTGTTTTAAAATTGCACAGTATTAAAGAAATTTAAGATATTAGTGTTATTAATAAATAAATCATAAATCTGTGAACTCATTTATATGTTGTAAATTGTATTTTGAAAAAGAAAAAGTCGAAAATAATATGCAAATAAATTTATGTAGAATTGCTACAGGCAAGGACGGATTAACCTATAGGCACATTAGGCACGTGCCTAGGGCCTACGAAATTCAGGGGCCTACGAAAAACTTGGGAGAAAAAAATTTGTTGACAAAAATAATTTAGCTTTAAAAACAACAAGTGTATTTTGCACAAAATTATGAAGATACAAATAAAAATATAATATTTTTCGGTAATAAATTATTTTGCAGAATCTTATGATCTAATATATTACTTTTTTGCGATTTTTGGATTCAACGAAATCTTGTATTATGCTGTCGAATTCCAAACTACGCAAAATGTCGTATTCAATAGACATAAGTGCGAGCGATGCCAAACGATCTTGATTCATTGTTGAACGCAAATAATTTTTTATCAATTTTAATCTGGAGAAAGATCTTTCTCCTTCTGCATTTGATCCAAGAATCGACAAATATATTCTTAATGCAATGTGAACGTTAGGAAAAGTATTCACAAGTTTATCTTTAATTTGAGCCTTCAACATTTCTTGTGCAGATTTATGTTCATACAAATTTGAAAATAGTAAAAATTCATCTACAAAGTTTTCCTCTAAATCGGATGAGTAAATTTTCACCAAATTTTGCGCTTTTAGTTTAATCTCAGATTCTGACAAATTTTTGTGAACAAGAAAACCGAAATTATCGTACAAATCACTGTAAGCTTTACGCCTTTTAGTCATTTCTGAAATTAATACATCTAAAATGGCGTAATACGTTTCCATACGAAGAAAATTTTAGCATATATTTTGAAAAGAGGGGAGGAGTGGGGGAAGGAGGGGAGGGCCCAAAAACGGCTATGCCTAGGGCCCACGAAAGGTATAATCCGGCTCTGTGCCTAGGGCCTACGAAAGGTATAATCTGGCTCTGGCTACAGGAAATAAAACTAAGATAGCTTAACGCTGTTCTTCGAAGCTCTGTTGCTAGGGAAATTAAAAAAGCTATAGTTTAAGTGCCTTAAATTTGCAGCAATGCAATGATTTTAAACTATACATATAATTGCGCTATAAGGAATTATCTGGGTTTTAGATCAGAGAAATAACTTAAATATTTTAAATGTTATTAAACTTTTTAAAAAAATGCCAATTTGGTGGCATTATTCCACCTAACTGAAAATTATCAAAATCATTGCCTTATTCTCAGCCAACTTTTAAGGTAATATTTCAAGAATAGAGTTTACTGTAGGGCACATTTAACAGTTGCCCATGGCCATTAAATATGACGAATGGCAATTAAAATATTGTCACACACTTGATCTCCGCTTTTATCATCAAAATTGTACCTCGTTTGCCTTTCATGATAATTAGCAAGAATATTTAATAACATTCTGAAAATTACTTCATTTAATGAAATTTTTTCTTGATTTTAGAAATAAACTTTGTAGTGTTCACTATGTTTTGAGAAATTCTTCAAAAGAAATGCCTTGCTTAAATGACATCAAAATTTTATTTTTTTAAAACTTTTTAAAATTTCCCAATTTTAAAATTTTTTTTCTCCATAAGTACCAGTTAAGGCTCCACATTTCCCTGATCAATGGCATGATTGTGGCAATGTAGTCAGCATTGTACACAGACCGTGTTTACTTCCCTGATAGGCTGGTACCCACTGATCATAGGACTTCAAGCCGCCACTTGGGATCAAACGCCAGTTCTTCATAATGTCAGTTCAATGCCTTAACCACTGAGCCATCACAACTCAATTTTGCCATATAAAGTTTTTATTAATCGATACATTGGGTGATAATTTATAGATTGGTAATAGTAAGCTAACATTACTGTTTTTGTGACAACAGTAGTTTCTCAAATCTTGGTAAAAAGTCATCTTCACTAGAGTGATATTCAGCTGCGTCATAAACTATAAATAAATAACAAAATACATTAATTAATGATTAAAAAAAATACATTATTTACCTAAAAAAACTGCATAAGATTTATACTCTGAAAAACTCTACTTATTAAAACTACATAAGAATGAATAATTTCAATAAATCCATTGCTTTTTACAGTTTTAACAAGGAACACACAAAAGCTCTGGCATGACTATAATTTTTTATTCACACACATACAAAGAAAAGAAAAACTACTTCATAATTTAACACAGCAATTCCTAAAAGGTGTTCCATCAAAAGGTAACAGAGGTTTTGAGAGATAAGCCTTTTTTTCTTCAAATCAGTAATAATTTTTTAAACCTCTAACAATATTAGAACGTGATGAATAATCTACAATTTATTTAATATTTTAGTTTTCTCTATTATCAGATTTCAACTTTGCATTCTCAAAAAGCAAATCAGAAGCCATTTCAGAACTGTGAATTCAATGGTCTGACATTTAACCTAATTATAATACTGATATTCCTTAAAAAAAAGGATTACTTACATCAAGTATATATCCATATTAATTTGTTGTCTTTTTTAGGTTAGTAGTATATTGACAGCTACATGTACTTTATATTTAAAGTTGGGGTTTCACAAAAAGAAATTTGATCAATTAGGGTTCCATAACAGAAAAATTGAGAAAGGCTGCTACAGCATACAGAATTTCACCCCACTTAAAGTACACCCATTTAAAAGAGATTACCAAAACACTTAAGGCAATTAAATGGTTAATTAGTCAAAAATTTCAGATATAATGTCAGGATTGGACCTTTCATCAACCAATACTAGGCAACCACCTAGAGGCAAGAGAACAATTTTCTATTTAAACAATTTATAAGGAAAAACAATTTCAACTCCGTTATACCAGTTTATAGCTCATGTTTTCCAACACATTAAATTATATTAAGTATATGTTTTAGGCTGAATTTGTACTATAATTATAAACTAGAAGGTTGCATACAAATGGAAAGTACCATAATTATTTCTCAGCATCAATCAGATAATAAAAATAAGCCTGCAGCAATTTATAAAATTGTGATTTCTCTTCTCTCCACTGAGTGAAAAGTTAGTAAAATTTATTAACTTTAAAAATAAATAAAAAATTGCATAATTTTGTTTCCAGGTAAATGAAAATGCTTATATATATATATTGGGAGTACAAATTAAAAGATGGCTCTAGCTGTTATGAATGTTTTATAGCAAGAGCTGGTTTCGGTGGTTTCAAAGAGGTTAGACATCTGTTAATAATATTCAGTTTATATCACTTTGAGTTTCATACAAAAACCCTGTTTTTTTACTTTGTTGAATAAGTCAAACTTTGTGATAACTAAGCAGCATTTGTGGGAGGTTTCATGTTTCTGCTTTAATTGCAAGAAAAGTGCAGCTGAAGCGCATCGAATGTTTGCAGAAGTTCAGGTGACAATGCTCCACCTGATATCTCATGTAGGGAATGGCTTCGACGTTTCAAGAATGGTGAAAGGTGTTGTATACTGTGAGCTGCTACAACCTGGCGATTCTATTACGAGTGATCGGTATAGGCTACAATTGATTTGTTTGAGCTGTGCATTACGAGAAAAACGGCCGGAATACGAGCAAAAGACATGACAAGGTTATTCTTTTGCATGATAACGGTTGGCCTCATGTCACACAAATTATTTGGAAAAGCTCAAGTGGGATATTTCAACACACTCACTGTATTCACCGGACAATGCTCCTTCTGATTACTGGTTGTTCCAACGGATGCAACACTATTTGGCAGGTCACCGGTCCACTTCTTTCGCAGAAATCGAAAATTGGCTGCTAACTTGGAATTCGAAAATTGCCTGAGAGGAGGGGAAAAGTAGTAGCCAGCTATGGACAATACTTTGATTAATCTTCATTCATTTTGCTCTGAAATAAATCGATAAGTTTTTTGACCACAAAAAACATATCGAACTAATTTGTACTCCCAATATATATATAACGATTATATCTATTATTTATTTTCCGAATTTTCATTTTTTTTTCAGATTTTTTTCCGGTTCTTAATTNCGAGGTGGTTAAAACCACTGGTAGAAACCGGTTAAAACCGGCATGGCAGAAACCCTTTTCTGCCACATTTGTGGCAGAAATTCAGAAAATGACATAAAAGTAAATACTGAGATTGACATACAATGGATAATTCACAGAAAAAACAATTAAATGTTAAACAAAGTACAATTTATTTACAAAATTATCACCATTCAAAATCAAATATTACATTGCTTGCACTCTGCAGTAATCTATAACAAAAGACAAGTCTTGATGCAGTTTCTAAACCTAGACAATTTCTCAATTTGCCTATGCATGAACGAGAAATTTGAGAAGATTCTCTAAGTTCAGCAGAACTAGCAGGCAATGCCATCAAGGAACAAGCAAGATTTGTGAAACTTTCATCTATTGCATATTTTTTAAAACTGGACCACCATGTAGCAGCTGGGGTAGCTATCGAAACTTGACAGGAAAAATAGGTTTCAGGAAATTGGCCCGATTTGTTTTATATAAATATTTCATATACTGCACTATCTTTTCATGTATATAGATATCTTTTCATGTATAATTCCCATCCCAAATTGTTAGGGTGGCAAACGTACAATGTTATTTCATTGGCCGTGAGCCACCTCCCACAGAAGAATTCAGCTTATAACATTTAGATTTCTAATGCACTTGTCCAGATTAGCTTTCAAAGAAGGATCAACACAATAGAAATATATAAAAGAATTGCTACAGCAAAAAACCATCTTAACCATAGAAAACAAAGATTAGCATCCAAAAGAGGATGAACCTAATTGACGATCACAGATCCTTAATGGTGACCATAACACTCATCACTTATTTCCATCGCAAGTTTAATTCAGCCCATGGATCAGTTACAATGCTTGAAAAAAGTACTATCGCAGATTTCTTTTCGACAAGCTGTCGAAAAAGAGAAAAATTGCTGAAGGAATATTGAAGTTGTATTATTTCCACTAAGCTTTCAATAGTTCTAGGTGAGCTAGTCCCTTCCACTTGAAATTTTCAAGAATCTACTATATTTTATAATTATAAATTTAATAACTTTTTTTCCTTTGTTTATTTATACTATTTAAAAGTATATTTTATTCTTTCATTACAAAGATTAGACTTGAGGCTGAATAGAGGTTTTACAGCTTCAGGACAAAATGTATTGTAAACCTCTTTCTCAAAGGATAACAAAAAGCTTTATTCTCATATTTTGTAGAATTTTTGAAGACCCTTTTATATAAAACTGTAGTTTTTATATAGATATGAAGAAATCCTTCACAATTTTCTTTGAAAAAAAAAGCTAATTAATAAGACTACATTTTTTGTAAGAAATTTCGACCAAACCCTGTAAGAATTTTTGTAAGGCATTCCCCCCCTCCTCCGCTCTTTAGTATGGCGTCTTTTAGACTTATTCCATTTGCATTAATTTCACAACCTTTTTCTTTCAAAATGTATGCTGCTTATAAAATTATTTTATACTTATTTTCATTACAAACTTCAAACTTATGCCGATTGATTTAACCTCATAACTATTTTTTGTTGCTTAAATCGCCAAATGTGATTAGTTTTCAACTACTCGAATTTAACAAGTTTCATTTGTAAATTGAACTACCATTCACAATCCATCCAACCATATAATATCAATTATTGTGGTGATTGTTGCATTGCAATCATGCTAAAAATAAAAAGCTATAGTTGAAAAAAAATTTATGAAGTAAAACCTTTGTTTTCATAAATCTTCTCGTTAAATATTAAAAAGATATGCAGTGCACAGTTAAAAGGAACTTTTTTTCTTAATAATCTTTTAAAAATTTTAATTTCTTTACCTCTCAGCATTGCAATACTCAGATTTTCACAAATTGCCATCTTTCTAAAACAAAGCAGATTTTTACAGTTTATTTAACAATTCGAAATTTTTTTTTTTTGTAAAATACAAACTGTTCTTTAAACAAATCTAATGGTGTGATCCACTTTCTAATCAACTTAAAATTACAATTATTAAATAAAAAAAATTTTGATTCGCCGGGCGCAAAAAAATTAAACTGATATTTTTTATTTTAATGAGTATACTGAAAATAAAAAGTTTGCCGAGGTCTACAGACTTTTTGTGATTTTTTGCTTGCGCCTATAGCTATCCAAAGAGTATCAAAATTTTTACAAAATTGCAAGATTTAATTAAATATTTGCGATTGTGATATTTGAGTACGCCATCCGGATAGAAGACTGGTTCCATGACTAGAACCTCCCTCCTTCACTCTCCTCAGATGTATGATAATTCATTATGATGCCAGAATACTCTTCTTCAATATTTTTTGAGTTTAGATTATCAAAAATATGACTTAAAATTACAATGATGCTTAAACTAAGCACCATTGTGGGGATAATAGTTATCGATCATGTCAACTTTCATCTATGAAAAGGAACCCCACAATAGAATCGAGTAAACATATCTTATATACTAATGAATTGGAATTATATATTTTTAGTGGTAGATACGCTACAGTACTCCCCCCCCCCAGAATTACAGCTGTGAAAGAATTCGATGAACGGATACCACTAGGTGATTCATTGCTGTTTTGTGAGAAGCCGGCAGAGCTGTATTAAGATCACCATACTTTTGAGTGCTGATCGTGAGAGCTGTATTAAGTTCTTGGCCGTCGTACCTCTCGTGTTGAATTAGCTGTCGAGTGTATATATTGTGTATGATCGAGACTGAAAAGCCACAGCTTAAGGAGGACAATGTCGCAGTCACAAGTAGCAAGGCAACTGTTCAATGTGGACCATTCATCGAAGTGGGTGTGTTTAGACCGTAGTATGCATTTTGACCAAGGTAGACGGGTTCACATCCCATCCGAAGGTCACCAGTGTG